ATCGGACGAAAATATGTATGGGAGCTATATCTAAATCTGAACCGATTTTCACGATACTTAATACACATCATTCTAGACTTAATTCAGTACCCCATGCTAAATTTCGTGCAAATCGTAAGATATATAAGGACTTTTACGAAACTTAACGCAAATCATTCTAGACCTAATTCAGTACCCCATGCTAAATTTCGTGCAAATCGTAAGATATATAAGGATTTTGGTATACCATTTACATTAAAACGGACGAAAATATATACGGGAGCTATATCTAAATCTGGACCGATTTTCACGACACTTAGCACACATCATTCTAGGGTTAATTCACTACGCTGCGCCAATTTTCGTGCAAATCGAAAGATATATAGAGACTTTGGTGCACCATTTACATAAAATCGGACAAAATTATATATGGGACCTATATCTAAAGCTGAACCGATTTTCACGAAATTTAGCAAACATCATTCTAGGCTTAATTCATTACGTTGCGCCAAATTTAATGAAATCGAAAGATATATAGAGACTTTGGTGCACCATTTACCTTAAATCGGACGAAAATATATGTGGGAGCTATATCTAAATCTGAACCGATTTTCCCAAATTCAACAGGTTTCGTCCTTGGGCCAAATAAGTGACCTATGCCAATTTTCATCCAATTCGGATCATAAATGTGACCTGCACTTTGTTTACAATTTAACGTGGACAGACGGATGGACATGCATAAATCGACTCAGAAAGTGATTCTATACATATTCTCAAAAGGAACCAGGTGTCTATCTCGTTTCCATTTGCCTGTTACAAACATATGCACAAAGGCATAATACCCAGTACCACATTGTGGTGACGTGTATAATGACAACATTTGCATCCTCTATAAGAATATAGATCGGGGAAGCTGACGTATATAAAAGAAGAGTGATTGACCTTAAAATTGACACCATACAAATTTGAAAAAGGTCTACTAATATTATGTAGTTTAGAATTTCCTTTGCCCGATTAGATGACGAAAATCTTACATGAAGACACGATTAATACAACCGTTCTAGAAAGCCGAAGGAGGGTAGAGGCTGATAAAATACTTGAGAATGTGAGCAAGGGAGGAAGAGGATTAGGTCTCTCAAAGAGCTGATGAACGCCAACCCCTCAAAAAAGAAACAGAGCACATCTTTGCACATCTTATTATGTTAAGTTAGGTCTTTCAAACTTGGTTCAAGTTCGAATATCGGTCCAATCCTTCTGGTATCTCTCACACAGGGGCTAGGCCTAACTGCGGGCTATACTTCATTATCGAACCCTACGTTCTAGTCTTTTATCTCGATATCCTCCGCAGTCGAACATTAGAGAGTACCGTTATATGTGGGCTACCAGAAATAGTGGACCTATACTTATAATTTAGTACCAATAAGAAGAAAATGTACCAAATATCATCGAATTCGGTTGAAAAATGCGCTCAAGAATCCCAAAATAACGAAATTTGGCGGGTACCCATATATGGGAGCTATGCCTAAACATGGACCGATATATCCCATCTCAATTCCTTCAGAAGATATCGTGATTACAACAGATGGACGGACGAACATGGCTACATCGTCTTAAAATTTTACCGGATCAATAATATATATACTTTATAGGGTCGGAAATCAATATTGCGATGAGTTACAAACGAAATGACAACATTAATATACCCTCCATACTATGGTGGAGGGCATAAAAAGGACATGTGGAGAACTACGAGCGCTACAAAAAAATGTGAATAATGAATAAATGAGAAAATGGGAAAGCCCACATACTCGTAGAAGATCTCCTGAGTTCCTATTCATGATCCTTGCTGAAGATTTCGAGAAACTTTCTGTGGCTCTGATATGCTAGAATACTCACTAGAAAAAATAAATCTCCAATCTATACTGCCCGGAGCAACCAGTGCTTTGAGCGTTCGATAAGTGAAATGTAAGAATTATTCAATTCCAGTCGTAACAAGGACAAACTCTCACTGAGATTCATCTTCTCCACTAACTGTGACAGTGTGTAAGAGCTGAGAAATACGAAGTAGGTTTGGTGAAAATACTATGTGGGGTTAATTTTTGAGGAAAGTTTATATTTTGCTCGTTTCTACTTTGTAGTGAAAATGATAGATGGAGTGGAACGATAAGCCCCATTTTCAAACATTATACAGGCTTCGCAAAAATATTAGGTTGTACAATTTTCGGTTCTAATCGGCTACTCCGTTTGATGAGGCACATTTTATCATTTACCATAAGGTTGAGGGTATAGAAAGTATATCTGAGTGCCTCAGATTTTTTTAGTCCCCAGGATCTCTGGCATATTTTTCTAAATAAAAAAGGAGTCCTAATGGTTTCAGGCATGTTTTTTTCTATAGAAAAAGTCCTACGTTTTTCAGACATACTTTTCTACAGAAAAGAGTCTTCCTAATGACCTCCGAAAAAAAGTCTATCTGAGTGCCCCTGGAATTTATTTGCATAAAAACAAATACTGAAGGTCTCACGAATTTTTCTTCAAACATTTTCTTCCTCAGGTCAGAAATTTGTTTCTTATTTTGATTCGGTCCCCCTACAATATATGTCGGAATTTAAGAATTCTTCAAGGCGCCTTTAAATATGCTATACTTTTGAACTTTTTGTTTTTGTATTATAGATTTTGGTATTTGTATTTTTTTATATATCTATTTTTTATTAAAATAGTGACCTTATGGCACAAAGGGAATTCCTATGACCTCTGTTGATATTTGTTTTTATTTATTTTTTTTTTGTTTAAATATATACAACATAAAACAATAAAAAAACCAGTAAGGAAAGTAGTAAAGTCGGACGGGGCCGACTATATGATACCCTTCACCACTATGGGTATATTAAACAGGACTATTAACATGAAATTGGATGAAATAAAATATGTGATATTTATCTAAATGTGAATCTACCTAGATCTATCCATTAACATGTCATTCGTATGTTACAATGGGACAAAAGTATGTAAATCGACTTCAAACAAATATAAATAGGTCATCCGTTGGGGAATGTCTGTACTTCTATAAAACGCAACTACGTAATTCTAGGCTCAATTTTGTACGTTGTGCAGAATTTGATGTCAATCTGACTAACATGAGGAGTTTGATGCCCAATTTACTTGAAATCGGGCGAAAATATATATGGAAGTTCTATCCAAATATTAAGCGATTTCACACAAACTTGTCACAGGTTAGGTTATACTAATTTCAGAACGTTTTGTTCCTATCACCCTATTGGTTCCTTGTCGCGTCAATTACTTAAAATCAATCTATAATAAAAGGGAGCTATATCTAAATCATTATCGTTATGCCAAATTTCGTGCAAATCGAAGGATATATGGGGACTTTGGTGCACCCTTTACATGAAATCGGACGAAACTATACATGGGAGCTATATCTAAATCTGGACCGATTTTCTCGAAACTTGGCAGACATCATTCTAGGCTCAATTCAGTACGTTATGTCAAATTTTGTGCAAATCGAAAGATATATAGGGACTTTGGGGCACCATTTACATGAAATCGGACGAAACTATATATGGGAGCTATATCTAAATCTGGACCGATTTTCTCGAAACTTGGCAGATATCATTCTAGGCTCAATTCAGTACGTTATACCTAATTTAGTGCAAATCGAAGGATATATAGAGACTTTGGTGCACCATTTACATGAAATCGGACGAAACTATATATGTGAGCTATATCTAAATCTGGACCGATTTTCTCGAAACTTGGCGGACATCATTCTAGGCTCAATTCAGTACGTTATACCTAATTTAGTGCAAATCGAAGGATATATAGAGACTTTGGTGCACCATTTACATGAAATCGGACGAAACTATATATGGGAGCTATATCTACATCTGGACCGATTTTCATGAAACTTGGCAGACATCATTCTAGGCCCAATTCAGTACGTTATGCCAAATTTCGTGCAAATCGAAAGATATATAGGGACTCTGGGGCACCATTTACATGAAATCGGACGAAACTATATATGGGAGCTATATCTAAATCTGGACCGATTTTCTTGAAACATGGCAGACATCATTCTAGGATCAATTCAGTACGTTATGCCAAATTTTGTGCCAATCGAATGATATATAGGGACTTTGGGGCACCATTTACATGAAATCGGACGAAACTATATATGGGAGCTATATCTAAATCTGGACCGATTTTCTCGAAACTTGGCAGACACCATTCTAGGCTCAAATTAAGTACGTTATACCTAATTTAGTGCAAATCGAAGGATACATAGAGACTTTGGTGCACCATTTACATGAAATCGGACGAAACTATATATGGGAGCTATATCTAAATCTGGACCGATTTTCATGAAACTTGGCAGACATCATTGTAGACCTAAATGATTAGGCTGTACCAAATTTCGTGCAAATCGAAAGATATATAGGGACCGTTTACATTAAATCGGTTAAATATATATATGGGAGCTATATCTAAATCTGAACCGATTTTTCCCAATTTCAATAGGGTTCGTCCTTGGGCCGAATAAGTGACTTGTGCCAAATTTCATCCAAATCGGATCATAAATGCGACCTGTACTTTGTTTACAATTTAACATCTACAGACGGACGGACGGACAGACGGACGGACGGACGGACGGACATGCATAAATCGACTCAGAAAGTGATTCTATGCATATTCTCAAAAGGAACCATGGGTCTATCTCGATTCCTTTTGCCTGTTACAAACATATGCACAAAGACATAATACCCTGTACCACAGAGTGGTGAAGGGTATAAAAATTGTGCCTATAAGTATGCTACAATATTCATGGAAATTAAAAGAATTTTTACAGAAAACAAAATTTTTTCACTGGGTCTAAATTTGAAATGTTTGAAAAAATATAGATTTTTTTTAAATACTGAAAAAATACCAGAGTAGACAGAGATAATGTGAGAGTGTTACTCTATATGAAATATATCCCCTCATCCCGTGAGGGTTTGCGTAGATCGAACCAGTGTTAAATCCAAAACTCCCACACCACCTTTGCCACATTCCATTTCCGGCTCGGGTGTTAGACTTTTATTTGCCTCCGGTTTTGGTGATTGACTTTGCCGACTTTTCAACGATAAGTCGATCGGCTCATCCTGCACATCACTCTCCTCCGCATCATGATGATCACCAGCTTCCATTCTCAGTTGGAAGCTATCATGTGTCTTAATGGCGGGTAACATAAATGCCGGTGGTGAACCTGCCAGGGCAGCTGTATTTAATACTGCCGCAGGTGGTGGTAGTTGGGTAAAAGCAAACGATGCAAATGGACTATGTAGAGGTTCGGAATGACTACGAAATATTTGTAGAAATTGTTGTCGTCTGCGTTCTCGTTCATCGGAATCTTCTTCGCTGCAGCCATTATCCATGGGTTGATGAGCCGAGTTACAATTCCTTTCCGATTTCAGCAATTGCTGATGATGTTGACTGTGGCTATGATGCCGTAGACTTGCCGTACTTGTACCATCATCTGTGGGATCACCTGCAGAAGAGGCTCCCGAATCGCTGGGTGTATCGCTAAGGCGGGATTCATTATGGCTTTTATTATTCGCGGTATTGTTGCCCGAAGACATCGACTCCGCACCATTAAAAAATTTGGCAGGATTAAGAAAATTACTCAAGTTACTCCCCACATTCCCCGCCAGAGTATTGACGTTATTGTTGTTATTATTATGGCTGCTGGTTACTGGTATACTGAGAGCGGTTCCCGACGCACCTCCCCCACCACTAATGGCTGACTTTATGCAGGGATTTGTCTTATCCTGATAGGTCTGACGGGCATGTATCTGATGCAGTCTTGCCAATTGTTCCAAATTACTATTCGAATTTCCACTGTTGTTTTGTCCCGCCGTTCCGCTATTTGTTTGCTGCTCTTGTAAAAGGCAGTGGATTTTAAACCAATTCGAACGTCGACCATATCGTGAGCCACTTTTTGACATTCCCACTAGCAGGCATTTACGTAGACGACAGGCTTTACATGCGGTACGATTCTTTTTGTTAATAACGCAATCGCCATTATTTTTGCAACCCGCAATGGCGGATATGTTGTTATAGGTGCGGCCGAAAAATGACTGAAAAGAGAAGAAGAAAATAAATTAGAAAAAATCAAAAAGGAAAAAAATTAAAAATTTTATTTCATTAAATAGAACAAAATTATAAAACTCTTTGGAGGAATTTTTTTCTATAGAAAAATTACTGGGACCCTCAGTACGATTTTTATACCCTTCACCCCACTGTGGTACAGGGTATTATGTCTTTGTGCATATGTTACATGGTTACTTTTGAGAATATGCGTATAATCACTTTCTAAGTCGATTTATGCATGTCCGTCCGTCTGTCTGTCCATGTTAAATTGTAAACATTTATGATCCGAATTGGATGAAATTTGGCATAGCTCTTTAATTTGGCCCAAGGACGAACCCTATTGAAATTGGGAAAAATCGGGCCAGATTTAGATACAGCTCTCATATATATTCCGTCCGATTTAAGGTAAATTGTGCACAAATTTAATTATGCACCGATTTAAGGAAAAATGAGCACCTTTTGATTTGAATGAAATTTGGCACAGGGTACTGAATTAAGCCTAGAATGCCGTGAAAATCGGTTCAGATTTAGATATAGCTCCCATATATATTTTTCTCTGATTTAAGGTAAATGGTGCACCAAAGTCCCCAAATATATTTACTACTTTCCTTACTGGTTTTCTGTAGAAAAAAATTACTGAGACCCTCAGTACGATTTTTTCTATAGAAAAAAATTCACTGAGACCCTCAGTAGGATTTTTTTTCCATAGAAAAAAAATCACTGAGACCTTCAGTAGGATTTTTTTCCATAGAAAAAAATTCGCTGAGACCCTCAGTAGGATTTTTTTCCTATAGAAAAAAACTCACTGAGACTCTCAGTATGATTTTTTTTGCTATAGAAAAAAATTCACTGAGACCCTCAGTACGAATTTTTTTTCTATAGAAAAAAATTCACTGAGACCCTCAGTACGAATTTTTCTATATAGAAAAAAGTTCACTGAGACCCTCAGTACGAATTTTTCTATATAGAAAAAAATTCACTGAGACCCTCAGTACGAATTTTTTTCTATAGAAAACAAGTAAGGAAAGTAGTAAAGTCGGACGGGGCCGACTATTAACATGTAATTGGATGAAAAAAAGTAATATTTATCTAAATGTGAATCTACCTAGATCTATCCATAAAGTATGTTAATCGACTTCAAACAAATATAAATAAGTCCGTTGGGCTATGTCTGTACTTCTAGAAAACGCAACTACGTAATTGTATGCTCAATTTTGTGCGTTGTGCACAATTTGATATCAATCTGACTAACATGAGGAGTCTGATGCCCAATTTACTTGAAATCGGTCGAAAATATATATGGAAGCTCTATCCAAATATTAAGCGATTTCAAACAAACTTGTCACAGGTTAAGTTATACTAATTTCAGAACGTTTTGTTTCTATTGGTTCCTTAGTACGTCAATTACTTAAAATCAATCTATAATAAAAGGGAGCTATATCTAAATCTGGACCGATTTTCACGAAACTTAGCATCATTTTAGGCTCAATTCAGTACGTTATGACAAATTTCGTGCAAATCGAAAGTTATATAGGGACTTTGGGGCACCATTTACATGAAATCGTACGAAACTATATGTGGGAGCTATATCTAAATCTGGGCCGATTTTCTCGAAACTTGGTAGACATCATTCTAGGCTCAATTCAGTGCGTTATGCCAAATTTCGTGCAAATCGAAAGTTATATAGGGACTTTGAGGCACCATTTACATGAAATCGGACGAAACTATATATGGGAGCTATATCTAAATCTGGACCGATTTTCTCCAAACTTGGCAGACATCACTCTAGGCTTAATTCAGTACGTTATGCCAAATTTCGTGCAAATCAAAATATATATAGGGACTTTGGGGCACCATTTACATGAAATCGTACGAAACTATATATGGGAGCTATATCTAAATCTGGACCGATTTTCTCGAAACTTGGTAGACATCATTCCAGGCTCAATTCAGTACGTTATGCCAAATTTCGTGCAAATCGAAAGTTATATAGGGACTTTGAGGCACCATTTACATGAAATCGGACGAAACTATATATGGGAGCTATATCTAAATTTGGACCGATTTTCTCCAAACTTGGCAGACATCACTCTAGGCTTAATTCAGTACGTTATGCCAAATTTCGTGCAAATCGAAAGTTATATAGGGACTTTGAGGCACCATTTACATGAAATCGGACGAAACTATATATGGGAGCTATATCTAAATCTGGACCGATTTTCTCCAAACTTGGCAGACATCACTCTAGGCTTGATTCAGTACGTTATGCCAAATTTCGTGCAAATCAAAAGATATATACGGACTTTGGGGCACCATTTACATGAAATCGTACGAAACTATATATGGGAGCTAAATCTAAATCTGGACCGATTTTCTCCAAACTTGTTAGACATCATTCTAAGCTCAATTCAGTACGTTATGCCAAATTTCGCGCAAATCGAAAGATATATAGGGACTTTGGGGCACCTTTTACATGAAATCGGACGAAACTATATATGGGAGCTATATCTAACTCTGGACCGATTTTCACGAAACTTGGCAGACATCATTCTAGACCTAAATGATTAAGCTGTACCAAATTTCGTGCAAATCGAAAGATATATAGGGGCCGTTTACATTAAATCGGTTAAATATATATATGGGAGCTATATCTAAATCTGAACCGATTTTTCCCAATTTAAATAGGGTTCGTCCTTGGGCCGAATAAGTGACCTATACCAAATTTCATTCACAGTGTGGTGAAGGGTATAAAAATTCACTGAGACCCTCAGTACGAATTTTTTTCTATAGAAAAAAAATTCACTGAGACCCTCAGTAAGACTTTTTTCTATAGAAAAAAATTACTGAGACCCTCAGTAAGACTTTTTTCTATAGAAAAAAATTACTGAGACCCTCAGTAAGACTTTTTTCTATAGAAAAAAATTTTGCTTG